CACAGCCCCCCCCCCCCCAACAGCTCTCTCCCCTACAGCTCAAGTTGGGCAAACCCCAGCCCAGAGCTCCCCCCTTACTTCCCATCCAATCCTGCAGACAAAAACTAGATCTGAGAGGAGAGGAGAGCGCTATGGGAGAGAGGCTGTAGGCAGGCAGCCTCTGTCTGCTGGATTGGCTTCAAAGTGGAGAGCGAGTTCCCCATTCCCTTCAACCAAACATTGAATGTCTATTGGGTTGGGGAGGGGGGGAAGAGAGTCACTTTAGCTCATGGCACTTCACAGAAAGTGCCATGAGTTACAGCAGGGAGCTGCATGTCTGTAGTGACCTCAAGAAAAGTGGTCCTTACTCTGATGAGCTCACAATCTAGAACAGATAGGGAGGCCAGGGAAAAGGGGCTCATAGAAAAATTATTAAAGACCATGAAAAAAAGTTCAGTTTGTGGTCAATTTCAGAATTTTCTAAGGCATTCCAATCTCAAACAAAACTGAAAATTTCAGAAATGTTCAATAAATTGTAAGATGAAATAAAACTAAATTTGCAGTCAATCAAGACATCAAGATCTCAATAAAATCAAAACTTTCTGTTTAGATTTAGAGCTTTTTCAGTTAAAAAAATTAAACTCCTGGGAAATTTTAAAATCAAAAGTCATTTCAAACTAAAAAAGTGAACCACTTTTGTTTTGGAAAATGTCAAAACTGAAGAATTTTCATGGATTTGATTTTCTTATTCAAAATGAAAAAATAATAATGTCAGCATTGTCTACAATTTATATGCATATTCTAGTCAACTGGCTCCCATAATTAAGTATGGGAGCCTTGTATGGACACAGAGGACAAAAGCAAAGAAAAATAAGTAGGGCAAGCAGTTACATAGAGCTTTGAAGATGATTACAAGGTGTTTAAACTGATTTGATAGCAGGTAAAAAGCCAGAAAAGGTATTATGAAAGAGAAGCTACGTGATTAAATTGATGAGTAAGAGAGGAGTTTAGTTATGGCATCATGTATGAACTGACAGGGTCAATATATGTTTTGGGGAAGCCAGAAAGGATTGATAGTAACACAGAAGGAAAAGCAGAGAATGATTGGAAGGGAAGTTCTATTTGGCACATGTTCAGTCAAAGCTGACAAGAAGACATCTGAGAGGAGATAGGAGGGAGACTGAAAGAGTTATTTCCATAGCTGAAAGAGAACTTTTGAAGTCATCAACACAGAGATGATGGCAAAAGCAATATGGGTTGATAAGATCATCCCTAAGAAATATAAAGTTAGAGGAGGAAAGGACCCAGGACAAAGCCCCAGGGAGTTGCCACAGAGAGCAGGATAAGGGAGTATAGCAAAATTCTTGTGATCTCATTAATGGTGTCTGTATATTTTGACTTCCAGCATGGCTCCCAGTTTTATGGAAAGTCACTGCTCCCATTTATGTCACTATGGAACCACATCCACCACAGAATCCAAGAATACTATTTGGAAAGCTTCTGAGAAACTTTGGGGCAGGAGAGGTCTCCTAAATGTGCCACTTCAATGTCAAAAGCATCAATAATCCAAAAATTTGTATAAATTTCAAGATGAAACATCACAATGCTCTGCATTCCCTTTATATTTTTTCATGTCTTTTCAAGTTCAAAGGACCTCTTACCTGCCTTGCTTTTTTTTCAGTTGTTTGATTTGAATGGTTCATTTATCACTGGGTGTATCTACATGAGACGCTTCTGCACAGTTGTTACTGTGCATTTACTTAGTATTTGTATTAGCAAGTTCTAAAGAAATGTGCAGTAACTGGAGTTACTGAGCAGTAGCATCAGCAAATACTTTTTAGGTGACACTACTGCGCAGTAATGTATAAGCACTGTCTGTGCTGTGACACGATACTGCACAGTATTTTTTGGCTACTGCACAGTCAGCATCTTGTGTACATATGCCCTTTGTTTCCTTATAAATGTTTGACTAATGCTAGGCAAACACTACACAAAAAATACTGTTTAAATAATTTGCTTTAATAGTATTCAATAACTTCCTGTCTTTGTTTCTTATGAATATTCAGATGGTGAACATTTTGTTCATAGTAATTTTTGTGGAAAGAAATGAATGAATAAATGAAAATATTACATTGAGAAATCAGAACCAAATCTCTATCTGCATAGATATTCATACTCATCATCTAGAAGGCTATCTACAGGTGTAAGATTTTAATATTTTATTCAAAACTCAGAGACGGCAAATTTCAAAATCTGAAACCCTCACAAGAGAGAAAAACTATATTTTGTCCCATTCTAATCATTGCACCTGAGACCCATATGCAGTACTTTGGACTCATGGTAGTGCAGAAGGTATACCAGGAGGCACTGCTATCTCATTGTGAAAACAGGAGATTAGGGGGCAAAGCACGTGAGTTCCATTCCTGTTTCTGTCACAGACTTGCTGTAAATTTGAGTAATTCACTGAACATGTCCATGCTGCAATCTTCCTTTCTAGAAAATGGCTAGAAAAACAGGTGCGGTTTAAACTGGGGCTTAATTATTGTTTAAAAAAACCTTACCTCTGCAACTGTAAAGAGTTTTAAGTGCTAGGTACCTAATACTGCACGTAATAAAAATCAGTTTCTCGTAATATCTAACGTATCTATTACACTATAATGATTAGGAATTTCTTCTATAAAGATCATGATACCAATCCAACAATGAGGCATGCACATGACATCAAGTACTATACTGCTAAGTGACTTAAAGTTCTTGTTTTCCTATGGAAATCCTTAAAAAGGTGGATTATACATCATGGAATGATCCTTACAAATGGTCACATTTGAGGACAGGGTCTTTGTTTCTTTTTCTTCTTCATGACTAAAGATATTTTTCTGAAATGAATTCTTTTTTTCCTTAGATTTCATCTGTTTCCACTTATTTTTCGAGTGAATGTTTGATTTTTCAGTATCTTGAAAACATTTCTCCAATGTCAAATATATGACAACATGCAATAACATCTTGGTCCAATTATGGCCATACAGCATCATCACATTTCTGTGATTTGTTTTGCAGAATTACTGAAACAAAGTCATCCCTGGTGAACTTCATGGTGTAACTCCATAGGCATCAATGGCTCTACACCAGGGACAAATTTCTCATCCTATACATATTTCCATCATATCAGATACACCATCACTGACTTGTATACCTAACAAGGGGCAGGGAGAGACTCATGTATGGTTGAATTATGCAGTGCTCAGGGTCTCAATAGTCAGAGTCTGAAAAACTCCATGTGCCTACTTGGCACTGCAGAGGCAAAAATCTTTTTATGGCCAGTGGGCATAACTAATGTTATCAATTCAACAGAAAATAAGCTTTACATTTAAAACAGGATTTTGATTTTCAGCTCCAAATGCATGAGCTCTGAATCAAAATAGAAACGAGGCAAATGGTGGTGTAGATTGTATGTGGATAAATAACCTGTGAGCATAATTTACATCCCAGCGGAACTAAGGAAAGAGAATGGTTTTAGGAAATCACCCTATCACGGCTTAAGCTGAGGGAGGCCTTTCCAGGATCAGCTAAGAAGGAGCATCTTTGATTAGTTGGAACAGGGACTCAGGCAGTAGCCCTGTTACTTAGAGTCAGGCAGGATTGACCCGACGATGAACTCTGTCAGGTGGCAGACATTACACACCCGGGAAAGGTTTGAGTGATTACTCCGCGAAAACCAGGGGATAAAAGGCAGTGGCGGGGCAATAATTTTTGCCTGCGGGCACCAGAACACAAAAGAAAGCATGGGGACTCCAGAAGGTGGAGGAGGGATCATACCTGTGATTTTGGAGGACGCCAGAAGAAACGGACTTAAAGAGAGGCGGCAGGTCGGTCAGAAAAAAGAAAATACTTCTTTGCAAACCCCACTGAACGGGTGAGTGCGGGAGCATTGTGGGACGCTGGGAAACAGATGCCTTAAGCCGAGGGGGAGAAAAGAATCGCCTCGGGGAAGATCCGGTGGCTTGGACAACTGCGGGAGCACTGGGAGGCGGTGGACAGCAGCTGAGGGAGAGAGAGCTAGTACTCCTCAGGGGAGAGACGGAGATGAGAATAGCTTCCCTCAAGCTTCCTACTCTGGGAGGACAATTAATACCGGAGAGCGGAGAGACCGGCAGTAAAGAAATAGCAGGGAGCCGCTCTCCGCACAAGCTGTCCGTAACAAAGAGAAACGCGGATAGCACGCATCGTCAATAAGGCAAATAGCAGTATAATTTAGGTGCAAAGGTGTATCTAGCCGGGAGAGTCCGTCTCAA